CTAATCCTTCCAGCCGCACTGTGGCCCTGGAGTCGACTCAGCCTGTAACAGAAATGAATCCCAGGAATATTCTTGGGGGGTAAAGGGCGGCCGGCGTGTAAGGCTGACAACCTTACCGCCATCTGTGAGCCGATTGTCTAGAAAATGTGGGAACCTCAACATCTCACAACCCTATGGGCCTCCACGGCCTGTTAGAGGGATACCTTTGCTTAATTTATATATGTATATATATTATCGTGTAGGTGGGTGGACAATATTAAAATGGATCTTAGAGAGGATGGGATGATATGGATTGGATTGATCTGGCTCAGGATAGGGACCAGTGGAGGGCTCTTTTGAACATGGTAATGAAGCTTTGGGTTACATAAAATGCTGGGAAATTCTTGAGTACCTGCAGATTTGGCATCTTCTCAAGAAGGGCTCAGCTACATAAGTAAGTAAGTAAGTATGTATATACATTATCATTGTTCTTGTATGAAATATATGGTATAAATTGTACGCCGGCTTAAAACATTTGTCTACTATCATCAGAAATAATTTTCCACAAAATTGCTAGCCTCAGCATAATCTGTCTGAATGACGCTATGAGAACTAAGGCTGTCGCTTGTATGCAGTTTCATGTTGCTCTTGATCATTGCGAAACGTGATTAGTGATTACTAAGAGTTTCATAACTTCTTCGCATTTGTCTTCATCACTTCTTCACCATCCTAAGAGGGTTCCTGCGCATTTCTGATCAATACAGATCACTGCAAATGAAGTTCTTGGAATACGGTCCGTAATGTTAGTATTCAGGTTCGATATGAGAGACCGCTTCTTGAATCCAGAGAAAATATCTTGCCTACATGACAAAGACCAGTTGACTGAAGTGATAGGAGGTGTATTGTGAGGCGTAAAATATGTATCAGTGGAAATGATAGCAAAATACACTGTATTTCACACCCCGGACCTTGCTAAGGGATGTCTTTGTGTCCCTCCCCTGCTTATGGAGTTAACATCTCAGGACTGACCACTTAGTCATCCGCTAGCAGCAAAAGGGAGAGACAGCTGGCGAACGGTTTTGCGTTGCTGTTGGAATTCAGCGCGCGTAGTGTAAATAAGAGCAATTCTTGGGCCATTGCCGTGGGGGAAAAAGGAGTGATGTGGCCACTGGTTCTTACTTTCCCCTGTAAGTGATTAAGGCAGGCAGACAGGCAGGCTGTTTTCGCATGCAGAAAGTCAGGAGCACTGATCAGGCAGAGCAGGATTCTCCAATGAACGAAATTACCATCTTAGCAGTTATGCTGTTAAAACCATATTTATTTATTTATGATTTATTTACGTAAGGTTTCGGTCATTCAGACTTTGTAACATGAAATGGTAGGATGATTAGTGCATTCATTCATTCATTCATTATTGGAGGGGGTGGGTTTCCCCATGCACCGCGACCAGTTATTGATCTATTGTACGTCCCCCTTTGATATTCTACCAGTCGCCATACCCTTCCGGTACTGGTGCTTGCTATCAGCCCTGTTCAGCCAGCGAGTTCGGCCCCTCTACTGGCAGTGGTACCCGATACTTTCCCCATCTACCGGAGGCATCGGAAACTACTTGGGCGGGAAAATTTTTACCTAATTTTCCATGATTAGTGCATAATGAATGGGAAAGGATGTGGAAGGAAGTGGCGGTGGCCTAATTTATGGAACTATCCCAACATTTGTGTGCAGCAAATCTACCCTCTCGAAGGAGTCGGAATATCACAGTCGGTACAGGGACGGGCTACAGGCTAAACTGCCGGGGTTTGATTCCCGGTAGGGGAAGCTTTCCTCCACGTTGTGCAGATCGGCTCTGGGGCCCACCCAGTTTAAATATCCAGTGGATATGGGTGTAAAAACGGACGGGGTGTGAATCTGACCACTCATCTCCTCTTAGTTCCCACGTCAGAAATGATGGAGCTATATAGCCAATCGACCGCATTTATGGTCTAGTGATCAGCGTTCCTGGCTACAGATCCAGAGGTCCGGGTTCGACTCCCGGTCCTACCAGATTTTTTTTTTCGGAGAAGTAGTGGGTCTGGAACGGGATCTAGTCAGCCTCGTGATGATAATTGAGGAGCTATTTCAAGGAAATAGCGGCTCCGGTCTAGAAAACCGAAATTAACGGCAAGTCACCCGGAAAATTGTGCTGGCGGGAGCGTAAGCTCCTGGTAATACACCCATTCCAGACAGGTCAAAGGGTAGGGGTCAGACGAAGTGTGGTTCCTGGTCGTCCATGTTAGGGGTTGAGCGTGAGGCTAATGACCCCACCTCAGAGAAGTTCACTGTTACGAAGCCACGGAGGAGAACAAGACGCACGCAGAGTTGCAGCCCCAGTAAAGAAGAAGACGACATGTGCCACGTAGCTTGGGAAGGAAAATGCACTTCTCAGTTCTGTGACAGAAATGCAGTGCTCAGATTTGGCGCTATCTTCGAAGTTTCCTCTAGAATTTCAGCAGTTCCTTGTCAGACGGAAATTTCATTCTTTAGAAAGTTTTACGAGTTCTATTATTTGGCACATAGTGTTTTAAATGTAAGCAGACAGTTAGTTATTTCGTGTTGTCCATAATGAAATAAACGTGGGATGAAATAAACAAAGCACCTTAGGTAATATCTTTATAAAAACGTGAAGTGTCTTCTGAGTATAGAAGTTTCCAAGGGAAGTGGACAGACGGATAAGTTAGTGTTCCTATAACAAAAAAAAAAACTCCTTGGTGTTAGTCCGCAAGCGAATTATACCGACCGAGCGACCGACGCTTGTCGGCGAAGTTAGTGCCAACTTTAGCGGATAGAGCGTGTTGCGTGGTCAGCGCAGCGAAACCCCACGGCCGTTAATTTATGTTTTCTAGACCGAAAGTGTTCCTATGAACGAGAAAATTTGTTTTTAATTCCTAGTGAAACAGTTACAAAGAAGCTGATGTTACTGAACATTAGAGTTTGAAGCACAAACATATAAACAAAAACAGTATTGAAATTCTGAGAAGGGAGGAAGTGGCTCTTTGAAAAATGGGGTTGAGTCAACAACAGAATATCTTCAGAATAAAAACCACCGAGGGTTCTTCTGCAATGCAGGAAGTTATCGTATTGCTCACTTGTTGGCTAAAGAAAGCAAACATTTCCGGATGGCGTGTTCGTAAGAGGATGTTTGCAAAAAGAGCGCACTGTCTGTAGAACGAAACCGGTTTTAATTCTTTAAATTTATCCCCTGTAACGATGACGTGACGAAATGAAGCTGCTAATGGTGACTTATTTAAATGAAAGCAAAAGTATTTGCTGGATAAGAGTAACGGCATAAGCGACCATGTTTCGTAATTAACATTTTGAGGCATATTAATTTTTTGAGGTGGTCGAAGAACTAACAGGTCTTAAAAGTTTACATGACACAACAACATGAAATATTTGTTTTTGAGAGTGTGAAGCCATGAAGAAATTTTAGCTGTAGTGGACCGAACTGAAAAGGTTTACCAAAGACGGCATCCCATGTGAGATTGGAAATACATAACAGATTTTATTGGTAAAACTAGGCATGATATTAACAAACAGAAACCAAGATTTTACATATAACTTCACTGCATCATCAACTAACAGTCACATCATGTTACGAATGTTATGATATCAATTGTGAACTTTTCGAATCTCATGATCTTAATCATCTGCAGATTAAATCTTCTTTGCTGAAATTAACGGTAAATAAGGTGATATATCATACAGAATTCGAGTGGATCAGCCTTGTGAAAATACTGAAAGCATTTTAGCTTTAAAACTAGAAATATAAATATATGACAAATTATCATGAATAAGAAAGGCAAAGATGTGACCGAACTTAGAGATGAGAAACATCCTTTGAATTGCTATGTGGTCTCAGCCTAAACTTAACTGACTTAAGTAACAAATTTAAACGTCAATAGAAACGCATTTTTTTTGACATATTTAGGGATCGCAAATCTTTTGAAATGAAGCTGAAACGATTTCGGAAATGAATGAAAAATAATGTTTGTCATTAATGTTCCTGTTATTCGTTTCATAAGGATGAATGAGTAAACATTGATTAATCTGTGGGTTGATAATATTAAAAGGTGATTATATGACTTCTGTATATACACCTCTCTTAAACAGATATCCTCCGTTGCCATCAGTGAAGTTCCAGAACAATTTTCTTTTACTGACTGACTCAGTTTTGCATAATAATTCATAGGTAAAGATAAAGTTGAGTCTGTATTTAACTAATTAAGCACTACGCCATGAAGTAGTTTCATAAATGGTGATTTTTTTTTGCATTTAATGGATTCAGTGATAGTGGTGTGCAAAAGTTAACATCAAGTCTAGTCATGAATGATGAAATCATCCCTTGCATTTGTAAACACCCGGTTGGACAAGGTTAACCGGTTAATAATTAGCTTCAACAGTCGATAAAAGCGCAATTTTGCGTATGTACGGAACCTAAAAGACAGTCAGATATTCTTGACTTCAGTCATCCTGGTCCGTCACATTAGCAACAGCATAAAATGACTCACAATACCGTCCAGTGTGATTAATAAATAGAGATTGTATTTCAATTTTTCATTGTCCTTAACATGTTTCGGTCCGATTGACCATCTTCAGAAGGCACAATCAACATTTAGGAAACAATTATTACAATGTCATTAATATAAAAAAAATTATGAAGTACAGAAAGTGGTTGGAACGTTATGAGTTACTATAACTAATTTATTTAAAAGTAAAGTTATAAGAATAGTTTGTTAAAACTAGAACCAAGGGACCACCTCTGTGATCTAGTGCTCAGAGTTCCTGGCTAGAGATCCAGGGGTCCCGAGTTTGATTCCCGAGGGTACCAGATTTTCTGAGAAGTAGTGGGTCTGGAACGGGGTCCACTCAGCCTCGTGAGGATAATTGAGGAGCTATTTGTTTGGTAACGCCTTATAAATTTATTTATTCCTCTATATGAGTCTTGTTCTCATTGTGTATTGCGAACTTGTTACTCTGTATCTGTAGCCACGAACTCTGACCCCTAGACCACAGAGGCAGTCCCTTCCTGATTATCACTCTCCTTATTAAGGTTTTGCTCTTCTTAGTTCCTTAACTTTATTATATTTTTTATATGTATTAATGATATTGTAATAGTGGTTTCCTAAATGTTGATTGCGTCCCTCTGAAGTTGGTCAATCCGACCGAGACATGTTAAGTACAATGAAAAATTGAAATAAAATCTTCATTAATCAATCATACTGGACGGTGTTGCGAGTCAATTTATAGTGATATATTCATTGAATTATGCCTGTCCACTTGTGATTCCGTTGACTTTGAGTTCGTTGCTAGGACATTCCTTCCTAGTCTTACTGCGGCTGTATGTCTTGTGGATTGACAAGGGCGTGTCACTGCCGGTGTTGTTACCGAGTAGGACTTGGTCGGCCTGTCCACGGATCTCCTCCCACGCGAACGCGATGTCCCGTGGTTCTGACATGCGGCTGCACACAACGAACCGAAGAATATGCTTATCTCGGAACGTAGCAGCGATGATGTAGATCTTCTTACGTGCCATTAGACGATCGTGGAGTGTTTTCGTGAGTGAGTCTGGACCCTGAGGACATAAAATATGGAAAAAAAATCTTAAAAAAACGCCTCTAATTATTATGTTTACTCTGATATAAAAAATCACTATTATATTCTAGTTAAAAGCAACAAATTCGATGGTGCTAAGTCTTTGAAGTGCTAATAGTCGCTCAGCTGGTCAAGAAATTCCGCACTTTTATGTAATGGTATGTTCATCACAGCGTTAACAAGCGCTCGCCACTTGTCCCTGTCCTTAGCCAAATCAATAAGTCAATATATACCCCCCCCACCAAAAAAAAAGTAAAGTAAAGCTATCCCTGTAACAGGCCGTGAAGGCCCATAGGGTTGTGAGACGTTGAGGCTCCCACATTATCTAGACAGTCGGCTCAAAGATGGCGGTAAGGTTGTCAGCCTTACGCGCCGGCCGCGCTTTGCTCCCCAGGAAAATTATTTAATTAATTCCTGGTACTCATTTCTGTTAGAGGCTTAGTCGACCCCAGGGCCATACTGCGGCTGGAAGGATTAGGTTAATTGATAAAAATCCAATGATTTCATCGGGACTTGAACCCGCGACCTTCCGGCTTGTAGCATAGTGCCTCAACCAACTACGCTACCGCGTATATATATATATAAAGTATAGAATACTCCAATTTGTCCGTGAGAACACAACAAAATCACAAAAACCAACGACTGACTCGATGATGTAAAACATCACTCGAAGAATTTTATTCTCGTTTTATATTATAACTTTTGTTTTATATAATCTAATTTATTGTATTTCAACGTCAAATATTTTAATATAATTAATATTATTGTATCCAATTTATTAGTATTCTAGTTCAGTGGTGTATATATGTTAGCCATGTATTTTGCATGATTATGGTTTTTAATAGCCGAAACATGTAGCAGTGCCAAACTAGACACTGACCTTAATATTGTTCTGTTGTGACGGTTTTAATAAAGAAATTGTATGTGGTCTGTTGAAAGTCAATGGACGTTTCAGAGGAACATGTCTACATCTTCGGAGTTGCTCTGTTTGCTGCCTGCCTCAGGCTGGTTTATTACTTGGCTTAGTTTTCAACACTGAATTTGGAGGCTACGTGTTCCTCCGAGACGTCGGTTGACTTTCAACTTTCTTCATCCTATGCACAGACGGTAGGACTCCTTGGACGGGGGATCAGCCCGTCGCAAGGCCGCTACCTACACAAAGAACAACACAAACACAAAATAAACGCACACACAGACATCCATGCCTCGAGTAGGATTCGAACCCACGACACCAGCGTTCGAGGGAGCGAAGAGAGCTCATGCCATAGACCTTAGATCGGCAATTAAGTGTCTGGTTCTCAAAAATTATAAATTTTAATTAATTTTAATTTTCGTTAAAATTTAGCAAAATATATCTGAAATGACCGTAGATTCCGTGTAACCAGTTGATCGTGTTTCCAATTAAATTAATTTATCAAAGTATTTTTTTTGAGAAGGCCGCACTATTGTGTGCTTTGAGACTGATAGACACGGCGACCTCCCATGCTAGCAAATGCTTTGCCAGACATTTCTGCAATTAAATCCATTAATTTTGTAAAGGAAATATTTCCACTGATGGGAATGCAGGAATGTTTCTGTTTTCCAACTAACCAATTTAATTAGACAAATCAGTATCTTTCATATTGTGGTATTCTGGGCTATGATATCGTCTACACAATTTTATCCTGAAGATGGAGGCAGCAGGTTACTCCGCGACATTACTAATAGGAAGATGTCACAATCCAGAAGACCACAATATGCATCTTCACAGCTGTGTAAACCTCAGATCAGGGTCTGTTCAGAATGTACCTTGAGGCGAAAGCACACGAGACCCATGCTTATCTCTGTAACAATCTCAAAGCGGCTGTCTCCTCGCAGGAGGGTCTCGAACTCTTGTGCCAGGCTCACTTGCCGTCGGATGTGCTGCTGGAGCCCCTGGATCCCGTACAGCCGCAAAACCATCCACAGCTTAAGAGACCGGAACCGCCGACCAAGTGGGATCTGCCAGTGCTGCAGAGAATATCAGCCAAATGGATAGCTTAGGAACAGTGCAACAGAGTCAGACCTTTTTAAATGTGGAGCACACCGAGTCCTCGCTGTTCCGTTCCTGTGCCGGTCGCCATTTTCGTCATAACTTCAGTGTTCAGTAGGGACTAGAATTGAAATGGAGCAAAGCAGGCGCTTCTGTTTTCCAGTTTGAAAACTCTCTCTCGGCTACTCATCAGGTTCCCCGTAGGCTCATTACCGTGTTTAGAGGAAACCGTTACCCATTTTCAGAGCTCAAGCCCGAGGTCCTATGCGAAACATTTCTTAACATGCTGTTGTTTATGCCTTTATGGTGAGGATTTATTAGTCTACAGCCCGTCACCCCCAAACTGGGGACCACTCTTCATAGGCCATCTGTGACTACTTACTAAATGCATTCGCAGTTGTCTTCCATACCTGAGGACCTGCCATGGCGTGATGAAGAAAAAATTTCTCTTAATGTAGTAATATATACGTACGTTCATAAACCAAACCCAAATATTTATAGCTGTGTAGACTTTGTGATCGCTTCTGTGGTCTAGCGGTCAGAGTTCCTGGTTACAGATCCAGAGGCCCCGGGTTCGATTCCCGGCGCTACCATATTTTCTGAGAAGTAGTGGATCCGGAACGGGGTCCACTCAGCCTCTTGAGGATAATTGTGGAGCTGTTTCAAGGAAGTAGCTGCTCCGGTCTAGAAAATCGAAATTAATGGCCGTGGGGATTCGTTGCCCTGACCACGCGACACCCTCTATCCGCTAAAGTTGGCACTAACTTCGCCGACAAGCGGCGGTCACTCGGTCGGTATAGTTCACTTGCGGATTAAAACCGCGAAGTTTGTTTTGTTTGTTTTCAGAAGCCATGTAGTCTGGATACCGACAACGTCGCTAAGCAACAGACTAACCTACCAACCTACGGAGAGCTAAAGAAATAACCTCTGTAATTTTGTACCGTCGTTAAGTAACCCAAGTACCAATCACCCTGTATTCGTCAGGTAATCTAGCGTAGGGCCGTGCCATAGCTCAGGCGTTTAGTCGCCGGGTTTCCACTGCGGCGGTCCGGGTTAAAGTCCAGGCCAATTCATGTGGGTTTTATGGTGGACAAAGTGGCACTGCGGCAGGTTTTCTCTGAATACTTCCGTTTCCGTTGCTAATTCTTACTCCACCCTCTGATCCACATTCATCATCATCTATCATCCAGGGCTGATACAATAGGCCAATCAGTGGCCGACGTACCAAGTGGACTCAGTCTCACCCCACCCCACCCCAAGAAGCTAAGAGAAACTAATCTAACGTACCCTGTAGTCCGGCGCTCTGCCTTGATGCTGGTGCTTGAGGTAGATTCGGTCGACGCTAAAGGCCTCCACCAGGTACTGGCTATCCTTCACCCTGGGAACAGGATAGATGCTTCCTCACACAAGAATGCAAGACATCTTTCCACTGGGAGACAAATTTATTTGTATCCAGTAATATAACAAAATAAGCTATAATTTTAATATTATACTAAAACAAGGGTAATGGTTATAAAAGAAAAGATGACTGTGAGAAATGAAATTGTGATAATCATATAATTGAACAAATAAATAGTTTTAATTATGATATGGAATTACAGTGAAAAATATATTTAGAATGAAAATGAATAGATATCGGCAATGATAAGAACATTTAATGAAACTAATTAAGCGCTAAGACGTATGGGGGAGTGGATGTATAAATCCAAATTTTCTTGACCTAAGCACTAGCTGGAGGTGAGTGGCCAGCTTCACGCTTCTGCCGCTTTATCCCCGGAGAACGAACACCCGGTATCCATTGGATAGGAGTTCGGACGAGCCCAAAATTTGGTTTGGATGACGCGGAGACAATTCTTGACCCTACCGGGACTCAAAATCTGACCCTTCGTTCGTGCAGCCCGTAGCCAATCGCTATACCGACTACGCTAAGGAGAGCTGAAGCTGCAGAGTTGACAATTTTGAGTGTATACAGGGAGGAACAAAATAGAAAATACTAAAATTAAGAAAGATCTGAATATTTTTGATCTACATAATAAAATTAAAAAATCCAAATACCAGTGAAAATATAGTTCTACGTATGGAAGACAAACGAATTGTAAATACATTTTTAACACACAGCCCTAGAAGGCAATGAAACGTACGGCGCCCACGGTTGGAGGGACACATACACCTCTCTATCTTTCCTGTCGCTCCCAATTGGAGCATAGGGCATCCGTGAAACGCTTTGTTTCACTTCTGTTTCTGAATACGAGTACTAAGACAGTCGGTAGGACTTCTTGGATGGGGGATCAGCCCGTCGCAAGGCCGCTACCTACACACAGGACGGCCCAAACGCAGAATAAACGCACACAGACATCTATGTCTAGAGTAAGATTCGAACCCACGATCCCAGTGTTCGACCGAGCGAAGACAGTTCATGCCTTAGACCGCGCGGCCACTCTGATTGGCACCCACACGCTTCAAAATGAAGCAGACCAAACATAACCTAATTCATGAAGATAATGATGATGAATTTAATGAAATATGGTTTAGAATTTCCTGTACAGTAGCCAGATAGATTTTGAGAATGACTGATTCCTTCAAATCTAAATTGGATTATTTCAAAGAAATTTGATCTTCACTATACTGTTGTTTTAAAATATCGCCAACTATAAAAAAAAGTAAAAAAAAAATAACGCTATCCCTGTACCAGGCAGTGAAGGCCCATAGGGTTGTGAGACGTTGAGGGTCCCACACTACCTAGACAATCGGTTCAAAGATGACGGTAAGGTTGTCAGCCTTACGCTCCTGCCGCGCTTTACTCCCCAGAAAAATTATTTAATTACTTCCTGGTACTCATTTCTGTTAGAGGCTGAGTAACCCCCAGGGCCTAGTGCGGCTGGAAGGATAAGGTCACCTGAAAAAAGTCCAATGACCTCATCGGGACTTGAACCCGCGACCTTACAGCTTATAACAAAGCCCCTCAACCAACTACGCTACCGCGTACCTCTATCGCAAACTATACTTATGCAAATTGTAAAGTTGTTCCAACTAAGCCTAATATTTCACAGATGAGTGAGACGTGGACCCCACGACAGGTTAATTTGTCGAAACTATCTCAGGATTGATAGAGTGGCATGATGTACTAGACTTCATTCTTGGGAATGCTTGCAACAATCGAGAGTTGCCATTTATGATAAACTCACCACATTGCAGAACAGTCGAAATTTACAAGCATCCATTTATGTGGGTTGAAATTGTAAGAATCCGCGTAATGGACCCCAGCCATGAGATGTCTGAACTCAGGACATATGAACGCAGATCCTGTAACAGTACAGTAACACAGTCTCGGATTTTATATTGTGGCCTCATATTGCACCTGAAATAACTGAACTAAGTATGGAGCAACTATATACAGGGTGATTAAATTATTCACACGTGTGTGGGTAGCAATTTGTAAATATTCTTGTTATATCAACAGTGCTTCCTCCAGCTTGTGCTGTAGGACAGTGTTTCTCAACCGCCGGGCCGCGCCTCGTTCCGAGTAATCGTCTTATAGAAAAAAGAATTAACCGGGCCGCGGTCTGACAAAGCTTGAGAACTACTGTAGGAGACATGCATCAACAAGCTCGCTATCTTCTCCTGTCCTCCAAACTCAGCTCTTTTGAAATTTCAGATATTTATTGAAGATTCAAATCTCTACTACAGAATATTCCACATTATTCACATTTCAATCACTCTGTATATACATTTACTCGTATATATATGTGTGTGTGTGTGTGTGTGTGAGAAATAGCATATAGACCAACGTATGCCTACACTATCTTATACTCTGTTCTATATAAGTTTACTTAACACAATTAAAATAAAGTGCGGTAGTAGAATGATAGTTCCACGCATTATTAATCTATGCACCAGATGGAATTTAGTGGTTAACTTAACACTCTAATCCTTTTGTCTTCGGGGAAATAGCCCCTGTATCAATTGGACATGACCTGTAAAAACTCCAGAGCTGGCCTCTTCTTTGTGGTGAAAAGAAATTTATTAAAGAATTATGGATATAATCAGCATATTGATTAAAGTTTATCTCATGCTTTAAAAAAAAATTGTTCTTCTAAATCACCCTGGCTTATTCCTGACATAGAAAAATATTTGGCCCTCTTCAATATTATCTGCATTGTTAAAGAGCAGATGTTTTTACCTACTCGTTATGACGAAACTTTCCTGACTTTCCACTCAATTTTACAGAACTTAAATACGGAAGTAAGGCGGTTGCGTCTGGAGTACAAATGGTTGCATACCTGCATAAGCGGCATCAACGTGGAGCCACAACTCTTCCCTGTTGCAAATCGGTCCCAGCTCCTCCAGGCAGTCGAAGGCACACGTCCCCGTAGTGCCTAGAGTCGCCACCACCTGCATTACATGAGGTAGGAATGTTTCAAAATTTTGAAATTGTTCTTAGAGCAAACAGTTTTGTCTACTGAGATACAATGCCATGAAGTCCGGTGAAAGTCAAACGGCGGTTTGGAGGGCGATGTCATTTCCATCTTCAGGGTTAAAGACTAAACCAAACAAGAAATTAGCATGAAGCAGACAGCAAACAGAACAGAAAATCTGCTTCATTCTTCTTTCATTCCTTGATTTGCTTTTCAAGCCCTGAAAATGGAGACTACAAGTTCCTCCAAAACTCTGCTTGGCCTCATTTATTCTGTATTTGGATTGTCCTGTGTTTAGGTAGTGGTCTTGTGACGGGCTGATCACCCGTGCAAGGAGTCCTGCCGTCTGTAAAATGATTAGGGAACTGAATAAGAGGCCAGGGCCGTAAATAGTCTTGAAGAGCCAATGGAAAAAAGAAATACTCTTGAGAACGATAGTGTATATGTCGAAACATGTCGGATCGATGATGAATTCAAAGCAATTTCAAGAACGTTTGTTGTAATTGACTGTACTTTGATAATAAACAACGATATGCAAGGGGTTAATTTCAAAATAATATCCCGTTTAGCACAATGTAAATTACTACCACAACAAAATCCACTAAAATTGATAATTTTTCATAATCTCCCCTCTTGTCTATAATTTGTACACGCCATCTCTGTACGCAGTTTTGGAAATACTGTATTTAAGAAACTCGTCTGAACTGATCAGTTTTCCGCTCTCCTACATTGCAGTTCTTAGCCTAGAACAGAAACTCGGTCATAAAAAACATTAAGTCAAGTGGCAGTAAGTCCGTTGAGAGGCGCAGTTGCGGAAGCTTGTAGAGTACTTATACAGAAAGGCTCTGTAGCCGCGTGTTATAGAATTTATAATAAATAGGCAGATTACAGCACCCAACCCTTTCGCTGATATTCGAGACAAATTGAGGGTTGTAAAGGCAACAGAAGAAAAATGTATATCATAGTCCGCGGTGGATATAGAACGTACGTTTAGAAAACCACATGTGTTTTTCTAGGTATCATAACATCGGCTTTGTACTCTCAACTGCTCCTAGCTTTTGAATTCACTTCTCCTATAAGCATTCTGCGCAGACCCCACGGTAAACACAATCCATATTATTGATGATGCTACCGCGTTGCATAGCACGGTCCTATACGCGGAAATGTGTTTACCGAGTCGTTGCCTAGAAACGGATTGCATAACACCGTTGTTATATTCTTGCGTGCGTGTTTCTGTAGCTCAACAGTTCTTGAATGGAGTAAATACGCCATAATATTATCAAGGTACGACACAATAAATGTCATAAACAACCAAACAACCAAGTGTTCTAATTAGTTCTACAGTCTTACGTGAAACATTTTATTAAAATTTAGTAAAAGCTTTCACGACATGCTTCGACCGAATTGGTCATCATCAGGTGTCAAGAGTTTTCGGTGAGGAAACTGCTGTCTTTCTGCGTTGATGTTTTGCTGTTGATATATACTCGTAGTTCCCCTAGTGCGTATTTGTATATTCCTCCTCGCCATGTTGTGTACCCCGTCGTACTATGTCTCTTGTCTTGTTTTCAACTAATTATAACTAATTAAGAACTAAGTGAAAAAGTGCAGCAGGATGCTACAATATAATATTTTCTTTACCAACTAATTAACTCCATAGAGTAGACTCCTTGAAAAGCTAACAGTCGCTTAGCCCTGTTTTGCGGAACTCGAAAGTTCACTACTGTGTTTGCAGAAGCGTGCTATTTGTACCTGTCCTAAGACAAATGAATTCAATACGCAGTCTGCTACATTTCATGGAGTTCGAGATTTCGTATAAAATTGCGCGACACAGTGGTTTGTATGGGAATTAGTTGCTAGCATTCAGCCCAACGTCAAAAACTTGAGGATTGCCTCTTGTTGAGATCGTCTCTGTGGCCTAGTGGTCAGAGTTCCTGACTACAGATCCATAGATCCCGGGTTATATTCCCGGCGCTACCAGATTTTCTGGAGACACGCGGTAGCGTAGTTAGTTGAGGCACTATGCTACAAGCCGGAAGGTCGCGGGTTCAAGACCCGATGAAGTCACTGGATTTTTTCAGTTTACCTAGTCCTTCCGGCAGCACTATGGCCCTGGGGTTGACTCAGCCTCTAACAGAAATGAGTACCAGGAGTTAATTAAATAATTTTCCTGGGGAGTAAAGTGCGGCCGGCGCGTAAGGCTGACAAACTTACCGCCATCTTTGAGCCGACTGTGTAGATAATTTGGGACCCTCAACATCTCACAACCCTATGGGCCTTCACGGCCTGTTACAGGGATAGTTTTACTTTACTTTACCAGATTTTCTGAGAAGTAGTGGGTCTGGAACAGGGCCCACTCAGCCTCGTGAGGATAATTAAGGAGCTATTTCAAGTAAACAGCGGCTCGGGTCTAAAAAAAACCGAGATTAACGGCCGTGGGCATCCTTTGCGCTGACCACGTAACACCCTCTATTCGCCAGAGTTGGCAGTGACTTCTCCGACAAGTGGCGGTCGCTCGGTCTGTATAGTTCGCTTGCGGACTACAGGCCACGGAGTTTTTGAAAAGTACATTGACGCTACTGGGTCTTAGTCTATAGAAACTACTTCGTTATCAGCAATTGCCACATGCCCTCTCACGAGAAATTATCATATAGCATGTAGGTTGACATGCAAATCCAGATTAAAAGCAGTTTCGACGGCCGTAAAATTGCGTAAACAGTTCTCTGCTTTGTAGTAGACGACTAATTCGAATTGTTGAGGTCATGAAATATTTCTACTCTCTCCCGATTTAATTTGAGTGAAGTTTTATGCATGATAGACGAACTATTTCTTTCAGTTTTCTGTTCAAGCAACGCAGACTTTGGCATTATCAGTGTTGTTGATTTTTCGATATAGCCCCAAAAATTTCTTTTAGCGACTTCTTGGTATTGGGGAAATCTTTGAAATCTATTACATGTTTGAAAGTAGAAGTAAGAATACTCACGTAACAGGGGATGAGGCCCTTTTTCACGTCGCTCCTTATGCCTTCTTCCAGAGTCGCTCCTCTCAAACGGCATTTGTCGTCCGTTGGCAAGAGGCGCATGGGTATAGAACCCAAGAGTCCTGCCTTCTCTACCGATGAATTGGACTGATCTGCGAAATAATATAAAACAAATATTTTGATGAAGAAAGCAGTCTTCTGGGATTTGGCACCGTGTATATGTGGTGTTAACCGACGTTTCGGAGGAACGTATCGCCCCCATCTTCAGGGTTGAAGAAAAAGTATAAGTAAATCTGCAAGCGACAACACCGTAGGACACGGTACAGAAGACTGCTTTCTTCATAGTCACCGCCGTGAAAGCCTCAAATCTTACAAATATTTTGATAACTACAAAATGATTCACGCGGAGAAAATCCGAATAAACGGGTGTATATCACGAAATAATTTACAAAAGGAAACTAAATTTGTCACCGCTCTTTACTTCGCAACACGAGCGCTGTACAGGTCTGCCCTGTTGTCGCCACTTCCTTCGGCCTTTGACCGCTCCGGTTTCCGGACATAACTCCGCTGAGCTTCTTCTCGTGGCGCTGAGGAAAGGCTGGTTACTTGGAGGGGGGGCATTCGTAATATTAACTACCTGAAAATAAAGATTACCAGCGAAACTGTTGCGGCAGCTCCTGCCATGCTGACTGCAATAATCGCGAATACGGTACGTTGGTCTACCTGTGTCTTCTGGCAGATGGAAACTAATTTCAACATCTGCAATCTGATTCTCTCCAAATCTACGAAAGAACTAGGGCTATTCGCAGAGTAACTTCCGCTTATTTCAGACAACTAAAGTAGGAGTGGGGAGGAGCTGGCACATGCGTGGTACCATCACATGACTCTTTGCTTTGTAAACCATCACATAACTGGTCACCTAATACAGAACTATTAGGCTTATTTTGGGCTCTATCCTTCGTCTGCTATATAGAAGACAAAAAAAGAAACGTTTCGGAGACTGAATCTGTTGTCTCTGTGTTAAATTAAGCACATCATGGAGACTAGTGTAGCTACAGACACATACATCACCCTCTTCATAAGAAGAAGGTGAGAAGAACAGGCCGTTATGGCATGGGGGGAAGAATCTCTGTACTGGTCCCAGGACCGGTATGAACCCGTGTAGAAGCGGAGTCGAGTACCTCCACCGTAGCCATGGGAGTCATAGGAAGCTACGAAAAGGGAAGTCTCAAATCTGAGACAGTAAAATATGGTCGTGAGTCCCAAGGGACTCGGACCCGAGAAAGACTGTGCTTGCAAGGACCAGCAGCATATACAAAAGACAGACCCGTCCTCCCATCAGAGAGGGAACGCAACAAAAAATGAGACCGTAACTGTGAAATAGTAATAAATATCTGGTCGTAAGCCTCAGATGGGGCTCGACACCAAATTTACTGACTGACCGTCAGTCGCATTGTGACTTTGACTTTGACTTGAAGTATTTAGTGATGATGTAGTGTGTGTTTGTGTTAATTATTACAAGCAGTGCTCTTCCGCCCGCGCCTCTCATTTCTTCAAGTTCGTCTGTATATTCTGCGCAACTACAACACATAATTATTAGTTTAATAAGTGGTTGTCTACACATAGAGCGACACCCCACAACGGCCAGGGCGTGAAAGTGACCACTCAGCTCAAAATAGTGCCGAGGTCAAGAAGATGTGGGTCTATATATTCACTTCTCCATACGCCTTCATGGCGTAGTACTTAATTAGTTGAGCTCACCGACAACTTTACCGTTTTAAGCGGAACGTATTGCTGCAATTAACAAATTATCAGAACAGGATCCTGAATGGTCCTCATGGACTTTAAGGATGACATCTAATTGTAGATCGGTTCATAAATAAGGGACAGATGTTTTGTGGGTCATTAACGCTTTTCCATCAGTTGGAAGCTTTAATCTATCTTCGTCAGTTTTGGGGGGGAGAGGATTACTTTTAAAGTAAAATTTTAATTACTTTTATTACAGGATTTTAAATCACACTTAACTACATAGTTAGCTAACTTTGATCACACATTCAAAAGAAAAGCCATAATGTTCATGAGGATGTACATTTTATAGCTGTGAGAGAATTTGGAATTTAATGTGAGATAACAGGTAAATGAGACCGCCTAGTGGTCAGATTTCCTGGCAACAGATCCAGAGGTCCCGGGTTCGATTCCCGGCGTTACAAGATTTTACTGAGAAGTAGTGGGTCTGGAATGCGGTCCACTCAGCCTCATGAGGATACTTGAGGAGCTATTTCAAGGATGTAGCGACTCCGGTATAGAACACTGAAATTAACGGCCGTGGGGATTCGTTGCGCTGATCACGCGACACACTCTATCCGCTAAAGTTGGCACTAATTTCGCCAACAAGCGGCGGTGGCTCGGTCGGTGTAGTTCGCTTGCAGACTAAAGCCACGTAGTTTATTTTTAACAAGGAAATGAAATAATGATAATTCATTTAACCCGATGAGATAAATCTAGTCCTGATCTTTGTCTGGAGAAGTATTTCTGTCACGAGGATGAAGAGGTGACAGTCTGCATTACCGCATTAGCCCGAATATAAGGCGAAGTTTCTTAACATTGCTTTTTAGGAAAGATGCGAGCTGGGATAGCGTAGTCGGTTTTTTAATTGATTTAACCATTCCAGCCGCACTGTGACCCTGGAGTCGACTCAGCCTCTAAGAGAAATGAGTACCAGAAATGTTCCTGGGGATAAAGGGCGGCTGGCGCGTAGGGCTGACAACTTCACCGCCATCTGTGAGCCGACTCTGAAAATTTAGGAGCTTCGACGTCTCACAACCCTATGGGCCTCCACAGTCTCTTACAGGGATAGCTTTACATTTTTCCTATATGTGTCTAATACACAGGTGTTTCGCTAATTTCCTATATTTCCATCTTCAATTATGTGTATGTAAAACTTAATAATGTTTTCCATTTTCTTCGACATGAGACTAGTGGTAGCGATAGAGATCGAAACATCTTTTTTATTTTATAAGAGTAGGAAAATGAGGAACACCGAAATGTAGTTCCTGGTCTAGATATCGTCGTTCTCATGGGGAGAGGCACCGGAAGTCGCGATATAGCGGTCCAACCGCTTGCTTCATATTCGGAGTGTCGTGGGTTCAAACCCCTCCCCTGAAGTCGGCTATATAACTGTTGGGTTTCGTGAAATTCCAGTCCCTCTAGTCAATTTCCGAGTTCATACCTCAAATTGTACCACGACTGTTTCCTTCCTCATCCTCTCCGATTCACTATTAACTGATCAACACAACTCTCCTTGCGTCATGATCTGATCTACTGAAACTTCCTCGAATTAAATATAAAAATTAAGATAAATGAGCAAATAAATTAGTACAAAGAAAGATATAGTTTTTTTTCAGTTTTCTGAAATCTGGGTACTTATCATTAGCCGAGGAGGCTTTGTGCCAGATTTTGGTGTTATTTTCATCCTAATCTGAAATAAATAAAATATATCGGTTCTTAATATGCAAGATAGTTGACATGGTACCTTCACTGGTGAATGTCATTATTGAATGTATTTGTTAGTATTAGTAATGCCTAATATTCATTTTATCAATTGTAGCATAACGCATAGTTCGAAAATCAACTCGCTTTCTTGCCGTTGGCTAATTAAAAAGCCAAAAAACCAGGAGACAGCTTTTCCATCATGAACGAGGGCGCAAAACCGCACTGATTATTAAAAGCAGGGTAACAGAAAAGACATTCCCTTGAAACCTCCGCTCTTCAGTGTCGGGTTAAAGCAGTTTTAAATATCACCGTTTTGAACTTTTATTATATTATATGTCTGTGTATGTCTAGCAGATGAATGAATTTTAATTAGAGAATTAAATTAGAAGAAGAAGCTCTGGGAAGAACTAATTACCTACTTTCCTTTGATACATGGACCACATATAAAATAAAAAATTTAGGAGAGAGACACAAATACACCCACAGCAATATCTTCTTATAAGCCTCCTAACAAAATACACAAAAAAGACAGAAAAATGATCCCATAAGCCTCATAACTCTAAAAATTATTGGGGGGGGGAATGCACTTACACAGTTGGATGGACAGACGCACACGGATACACACACATACATACAGCAGGATGGTTTCATAAGCCTCCCAATACGTTTTCAGCATAAGAAAGTAGGCTGAAAATCACAAGAATTCTCTGCTAGGATTTCCGTTATGTGGCCATAGTTGAATCGAGTATTTCTCGAACATCTGGCAGTGTCGATATCCTTAAAGCATAAGAGTCTGTGCGATTTTGAACTAGCGTGTGTTAAACCTTCAGACGAAGATTGTGCTCTTGGATGTCACTGCGAGACGGCCGAAAGCGAGTATCAAGCAGGACGCAAAGTCTTCACTTATTCCTAGAACCTGAAGCTATTTGAAGTGCGTTGCTTCGAAACGCCGATAAACTTCAACAAAACTGCACGGGCGAAGCGCTGTGGGAACCTCAGATCTCACAAAATTCTAGGGAATTCACATTTCCGGCCACTTACCTGAGGAGTAGGCGATAAGTTTCCCCTTGATGGTTCCTTCGTCCCATTCGGGGTGCAGGGTTTTGATTCTTCTAACCGTTCGCTCCTTGGCTGCCAGCAGGCCCACTAAAGTCGCTTCGCTCGCTGAACCCTAGGAAAAAAACAGCAAAGCTTAGAATCTCATACAACTGACCTAGAAACGTGTCTTTATGATCTCAGGTAAAAAGGTAAAGTTGTCCCCGTGCTCAACTTAATTAACGCCATGAAAGCGTATGGAGGAGTGGATGTAGAGATCCACATTTTATTGACATCGGCACTATTTGGAGGTGAATGGTCGGGTTCACGCCACGGCCGCATTGCCCCCAAGGAAAGAGCCCCTTGTACCCATTGGATAGGAGGTTGGGTTGGCCCCAGTGCCAGTCTGGAATACGTGCAGAAGAAAAATTATTGAACTTATCGGGACTCGAACTCCGATAAAATTAAAATGTTATTGAGGAACTTTTATTTAGAAAATTAACTAAGTGAACGGAGCTCGACCCTTCTTGAAAAGCCACCTGTTGAGCAGCTACTCAAGAATTTCCCAACATTTTATAGAACTCGAAGGTTCATTACCGTGTTCACAAGAGCCCTCCGCTGGTTCTTATCGTGACATAGATCCGTCCAGTCCATACTAACCCATTCTATGTCTCTAACATCTATTTGAATATTATTCTCTCACCTACGTCTATGTGGACTAAGTCCCTTGTACTGCGGCCACTTCTGACCTATTGTACCAGCCCCAGATGATAGGTGAGGGTGATTGTGGAGCAGTTTGTGGAATGAAGATTGGCAGGGGAAATCGAAATACTCGGAGAAAACCTGCCCCCGCGCCACTTCGTCCACCACAAATCCCACTTGACCAGACCTGGGATCGAACCCGGGCCGCCGCGGTGGGAAGCCAGCTATTAACCGCTTGAGCTATGGCGCGGCCGCCTGAGATCCCCTTACTGTCTGTTTGTCTGCGTATACCTCCCTAAATTTTCCGTATTATATGCAGTCCGTGTCATGTCGGAGGAAAGTAGGCCGTTGGTTGTTCCCTGAACTTCCTGCTTTACATTCAACCACTGACCTAATGGGGGGGGGGGACGCGGTAGCGTAGTTTGTTGATGCACTATGCTACAAGCCGGAAGGTCGCAGATTCGCGTCCAAATGAGGTGTTTTTTTTTTTCAATTGACCTAATCCTTCGAGCCGCACTATGGCCTTGGTTTTTACTCAGCCTATAACAGAAATGAGTACCAGGAATCTTCCTGGGGAGTAAAGCGCTGCCGGCCCGTAAGGCTGACAAACTTGCCGCCATCTGTGAGCCGATTGTCTGGATAAAGTGAAACCCTCGACGTCTCACAACCCTGTGGGACTCCACGGCCTGTTACAGGGATAGCTAGCTACTGACCTTACAGAGAATATTGAGACATATGAGATGTGTTCTGTACTGTATGAATATTTAGAGTAACCACGGCTGTCACAGAGCCTTGTGATGGGCGGTAGAATTTTGGGTACGATTTCAATCGCCATTCCCAAACTTTAGTTAATTAAATGAATATAGTTTAATTTCAAAAACTGAATGTTATTCCTTCTTGAAATCATCTACCATATATCTTGATATAAGAAAAGCGATCATATCCAGACAGACGAGAAAATTTATACCTGTTTGAATGTATAAATAAATATTTGGCGAAAGTTTAATATGAACTGGAAGCCTACTTTCCCACAAATTTGTCCCCTTCAACATCCTACATTACCGATCACAGTGGCAGCTAGGTGTAAGGCTTGAAATATCTTCGCCCGTTCAATCATTAGGGTAATGGGTTCGAATCCCACTCGAGGCCTGTCTGTCTGCATTTATTTTACGTTCGTGTTGTCCTGAGTAGATTGCGTACGTAAGACAGGCTGATCCCCCGTTCTAACAGTCCTACAGACTCTATAATATTAAGAAACTGAAGCGAAAGTAACCGTTTCACAGATGGCCTGTGCTCCATTTGGAGCAACATGAATTAACAAAAAAAAACACTCCATGATTTTAGTCCGCAAACGAACTATACCGACCGAGCGACCGCCGCTTGTCGGCGAAGTTACTGCTAAATTTATCGGATAGAGGGTGTCGCGTGGTCAGCGCAACGAATCCCCACGGCCGTTAATTTCGGTTTTCTAGACCGGAGCCGCTATTTCCTTGAATTATCCTTACGAGGCTTAGTGGATCTCGTTTAAGACCCACTCCTTCTCAGAAAATCTGGTAGAACCGGGAATCTAAACCGGGACTTCTGGATCTGTAGCCAGGAACTTTGAACTTTGACCACTAGACCACAGAGGCGGTCACTGGAATTAATATTAAAAATAATATCTTAGATAAACAGCATGTCATAAATATTCCAATCGAGGAAGCTGCCTAAGAAGATATGTCTTTTTGTCTTGTATGCGGGAGATGTTCCATTCGGAATGGCCCACCACACCCATTATCCTGACAACGTTTTAATGGACTTCATCAGAACCTCCTAGTATATTCTGGGGGCTGTAAGGCAAGTAAGACCAGGACCGATTCCTTCCCTGTTCCTGCAAGTTCATTCTGCATTAAACTTACTATCTCTCCACGCTATATAATCTGAGTTATTGACGGCGATGCTAGATAAGCAAGGTATCCATAAAGTCTAAGGTCTCCACAATATTCCTAGTAATATTTCACTTCAAATGAATGCTCATCAAATTATATGAAACCGGTTTTATTACAAGTTACGTAATCTGAAATATGTACATGAGGGGGACTATCTTTACTGGACAGAAATGAAAGACCTGATGGTGAGTCATGTGTTGGCTACGTCTGTTTGAAGTTGTAAACAGCTGTATTCACTTGCTGGATACGTAAACCAGCTCAAAGTTATAACATAACACAACAGATGGCCAATGTTCAGAAGATATATGTGAAATTATACAATAAACAGGCCTACAACTTGCATGTGGAGTATTCTATGATAGTAATAAATAAATAGAAGAAAATTGGCCTGTATATTTAAGATTTAAAATATTTATGATTAGTCAATATGTATGCAACTGGCCTTGAATGAATACAAAGATGACCACCTTCATTGGTTTTGTGTGTGTCACGTGTGTTTGTATTGTGATGCAGTGATAGCGAGATTTCGATCAGCGATATTCAGAAGTATAGTTTTATGGTAAAGATGCTATCGAATTATTTGTCTGCAATTAATTAATTATTTTATTGACACGGCGCATAAGGCTGGCAATCTTACCGCCATCTGTGAGCCGATTATCTAGACAGTGACGTAGCCTCGACGTCTCACAATCCTATGGGCCTCCACTGCCTGTTACAAGGATATAGCTAGCATATTAACACTCACTGTTAAGTTCGTCATTTTAACTTAATTCTTGCCCCTTACCGAGGTCTAAATTTCTCGTTGTCTTGAAATCTCTCAAAAGCATTAACACGAGAGAGATAGCAACGTTATAATGATTTTTGATCCTCAACAACGAAAACATTAAACTTCAAATTTTAAAAATAATGAAACAGTAAATTTAAAGAACACAAAAATATCGGTGGTGGTTGCAGATTATTCTGAGTCAGAAGCAACGATGTGTGTAATTGAATTGATAACTAAGTGAGACATCTGCTGGACACTGCCTGATTTATATTTAGCACAGAGTCACAGAGTTTCAGACAAGACTCAACCAATAAGACAAGCAAAGCATGGAAAGAAGGGGAGTCACAGGAGAGGCACGTGTTCTTCGCGGAATGTAACACGACGCTAACACGATGCTAGCGATATCTAGGGACAGGTCTCACGAAGATCAGAAAGAAATTCCAATTAGAACTCATAAAGTCTACTTTCCCATTGCTGACATTCTAATTCAGAAAATTTTATACTGCCAGTATTTTACGTCGGCCATGTAACTTTATACATAAGCACTAAAAATGAAACTCAGTTTATTCATAGGGCAACTGAATTCGTGCACCTCGAAAACGCGTACTCATTTCTGTTAGAGGCTGAGCCGACAGCAGGGCCATAGTGCGGCTGGAAGGGTTAAGCAAATTAAAACGAAAGAAGAAACACCTCATCGGGACTCGAACCCGCGACCTTCCGGCTTGTGGCATTGTCCCTCAACCAATTACGCTATCGCGTGCCCGTGTACTGATGTGTTAATAAAATTAACAAAATATTTACTTGACGTTCGTAAAGTGAGTTAATTTTGTTGTGGTTAGTTTATAGATGGTATTCACAATACGTAAGGCGCTATAAGCTGAATAATGGAACACCTAGATATGCCGCTTGTTTCTTCATGAGAGATAGCGACTATGATTGAAGTATTGCTTGACTTTTTCTGTTTATGTTTGCATTTGAAACAATGATTTTCACGACCTTGGTTATAAAATAATTATTTTTTCCAAAACAATTATTATTATTGATAGTGCAGGTTGTCAAAATTAATTTATTCGTTTCGCCAGTTATTTGATACATGTATCGCCATCAGCATGTAATTAAAATGAAAAAGAACTCAAACTAACCCCCAAATTTTATGTATATTAAAACCGTTAATTAAGGTTCAAATGAAAAGTAAATACAGTGTTTCTGGGAACCAATTTTTGAAAAACAAATATATATTATATTAACATCGATAAGCCGTCCAGAAAGACACAGTACCTGGATGACTCCCCCCCCTGGGCCGTCGGAAGAGTTCAGGAACTCCTGAGGGAGTTGAATCAGTTTCCCCAGCCAGTCCATCATGGCAACTTCAAGCTCCGTGCAAGCAGGGCTAGTTATCTGTGAACACATAATATTCGTATACAAATATAAAGGCCGTTGAAATTATAAAGGGAACTTCTGAAAACGAACTTCGTCCAAAAATCTAACACCAGTAACTTAAAAAATTATGGAAAAGCAGATAGGTCCATCTTTATACTAAGACTATGAACATGATAAAGAGTTGATATACGCTAAGTGGTGCTGTTATCTAGAGATTTATTTGAAAAAAAAACCACTATAATACTGATTCGAGCATAAATTTCACTGCCATCTTCTGCCTCTATTCGCAGCTACTTTCTGACATACGTAACTATAGATTATATACCGTATATAAACAATAAAAATGGTTTATTTCACAACGTTTGTCAATAGACCGGCGTCGAATAACAGGATTCATGAATAATTAATGGGAAAGAATGCGAAAAGAAGCTGCCGGTTCATCGATTATGACATTGTTTTGAAATTTACATGGAGTGACTGAGGAAAAGAACGAACACCTCAGGATACCTGAGTCTGTGGCCTATATTTGAACCCTAGACCTCAGGAATAAGAAGTACGTATACTAAGCATCCAACTGTGACATTCGATGACTTTTGCAGGCTGTATGTAGGCGATTGTAGGTTCACATCAGGGATGAGCAAATTATGACCTTCTACAGAGAGCTCTTAACTTTGTTGACCGGTTCACGACTCTGCAATTCGCGGCGAGCGCTATCCTGCTTGCCGCGAAGAGCATACGAATTTTGCATGCCTGATGGTCGCTAACGTCTGGAATGAAGGGAAGTAATTAACTGGTGGATCGTTTGATTGTATTATGTTATACGGCGAGCAGTGTGGGAGTTTGTTTATGATTTGTCAGCAGTAGGCAGCAGTTATCAACTCCATTAGCCATTTGTTTTCAACTACAGTTTCTGACCAGTGTGGTACGTCATGGTGCGATATACTTTAGAGAAACGCATATTTCTGTATGACACCTTAGTGAAACACGGATCTGCTAGAAGGTGTCGGCGAAAATTTCAACGTAAATTTTATGATGTAAGAGTTACCAACAGAGAAACACTTCACAATTTGGTGAATAAACTTACGCCGGTCGCCGTGAAGCGCAGGGCCGTTGAACCCGCCAACATAGTAAAAATCCTCAATGTTTATTCAAATTTAAAGAGTCATGTATGATTTGAGGTTCCTGCAGCGGCGGTTATGAATAGTCATCTCTTCTGGAATAGCTACAGAAAAGCAAGCAAGCAACTAGTAAGCAAGAACTACTTGCTACCTATGAAGAAAGTCGTCTTCTGGGATCTGGCGCCGTGTATTCTTTGTTTTAGCCGACGTAGCAGTAGCTACTGCTCTCTGCATTCGCAAGTCAATTCACCTGCCCTGAAGATGGAGGCGATGTGTTCCTCCGAAAAGTTGGCTCAAACAAAGAATACACTGCGCCAGATCCTAGAAGACGACTTTCTTCATAGTCATCGCCGTGAAAACCTCAAAACTTACATACTTGCTACCTACTTCACGCTGATTTCTTGCTTGGTTTATTTTTCGACCTTGAAGATGGAGTAGATTGTTCAACGGACTGTACAACGTTATATCCCAGAAGACGGGTCTCTAAAGAAATCATGCCCATCTTTTCAGGTTGCAAGGTGCTCTTGAGGATCGTTGATAACTGCCTTGCTTTTCCGTTGTTTAGAAGTTAGTGGCTCTGTCCATTCCGGACATGTAAAGGGAAGCCCCGCCATTTCATTTCCTGTTTATGTAATATAGATGAGCTACCAAGAATTCGTATCTATTAAATTATTAAGGAATTCAAAACAATGATGTGACGTAACCCGGGAAACTTACCCAGCTAAATCCCAAACACCCAATCCCGGCACTCAGCATTTCTCCTACAATTCCTGGGTAGGAGTTTGCTGTGGGATAGAACGCGTGGAACTGCGGCGAGTGCCAGTGTGTCACCTATAACAGAAAGTTGAAAGGTTTGGTTTCATTCGGTGCTTAACGACACCTCCATTAGCCAGACTGCACAGCATCGGATGGTTAAAGGCTTAATTAATTAAGTACCGCGCCATGAAGATGCGTGGGGAAGTGGAGATATAGCTCCACCATTCTTGACCTCTACACTAGTTGGAGGTGAGTGGTCAGGTTCACAATCCTGTCGCTTTATATCCGGGTAAAAACACACCGTACTCGTCTACGAGGCCGTGTGGGTCCCAGAGCTGATCTGGACTTCACGAAAAAGAGAAAAATCTCCTGGAAATCGAACACCGATTCCTTGGTTGTCTATACCGACTGAGCTATCCCGGTACCAGTAGCCCGGTAAATGTAATTAGAAAAATATAATCAATGTGCCAGCTGTAATGTTGGCAACTGTGCTCTAAGTGTTTCTTTATCTCGATACGACATGCAGGAAAGTCGTCAGATTACAGATCCGGTGCCACATAGCACCCCGGGGGTTGAGTCCTTGGCACCAGGTAGATAAGATGTCATGTGGGCCACAGAATCAGTCTGGAATGAGGGCGGAGAATGAGCCTGTGGTAAAATATGAGAAATGTGCAAACTTACTCCTGGCATGATGACACGTTCCATGTCAACAAGAATGTCCTGCCACTTATCCGGTTCCTGTGGGACCTCCCTCGGGATCAGATCCTGCAGATATCCTGGCTCCACGGACGGTAGCACCGGCCTGTAACAGGGAAGTGTCGAATTAGGGCTCTTCCGGACACTAAAACTTCTTATCCCAGAAAAATGCTGGAATTTGATGATTAGCTGAGAGAATGTCAGCTTCTCAAGGCTCTGCTCTGTCGAGATGCTCACATATTAACCGAAGTATTATTCCCTATAATGGAGCAGTAAGCAAGTTGATTCAACTGGCGAAGCTTCTCGCTTGTATCATGGAAATATGTGGTTCGAACCTCGGCCCGGACAATTTCTTCGAGTTTTCATCTCTTTTTAATTCTTCTAGGTGAAACATTTGAAACAGTCAACTACTTCCACTTCATTGTTCAATGAACCCTTACAACATTTAACACTGCTGCAGTTGATACACTCGTAATATTGTTCATCCTGTTATGTGATAGAATATACCGTCTACATAACAACAATCAGTATTCAAAACAAAGAAGACACTACAGCAAATGTTGATGTAGTAGTGTCTTTGTTTTGAATACTGATTGTTGTTGTGTAGACGGTATAGTCTATACTTTATATATCTTATTCAGTTGATACAATATCTTTGAAAAAAGTACGATCCATATAGATCCTTAACAATGTTCCGAACTTTGGTGATAATGGTGTTTTCGCCCTCTTCGATAAAGTGCTGTAGAGAGCACATGATGGAATTTGTTTCAATTTTCACACAGCGTCATCATTATATGTACTGATAAACAGTGTGGGAATTCTATTTATGTTTCTGATCAGAAGTCTGATCCATGAACCAACCGAAGGGGAGTTATTTATAACGTTCTCTGAAATATGTATGACTGTTTTACTAATATATCCCGTACTTTATTTAAGGAGAAATCAGATTTTAACGTCATTACCCTCGATATATATGGTTTCGTGAACAAATGTATACAGGCCTATGTAAATAAGTAAGTAAAGAAAATTAGACATAGAAAGTATAGAATATACTCGTACACTATCTACACAACAACAATCAGTATTCAGAACAAAGACGACACTACTGCATCAACATTTGCTTTTATTATGTTTATTAGAGACGCAACATGTTTCGACCCTTTCGCTGTTCATCATCAGGCATACAATGTACCAGTCTGAGCTGTTGAGTTGCAATCAGTTGTCATTTTAATCATCGAATAAGGATCCTTATTGTAACTTGAAATTAAATTCAAAAGTAAATGTATAACAAATCTTTGGTGAAATTTGAAGCTAAAACACTTAGATAAAAAACTGTATTTAAAATTACAGAAGTAAAGATAAGAAATTAAAGCATTAAAACAAGAGAACAAAGATTAAGACATGAACATTAAAATAACCGCGAAAGGCTCGAAATATGTTGCGTCTCTAATAAACACAATAAAAGCAATGTTGATACAGTAGTGTCTTCTTTGTTCTGAATACTGATTGTTGTTGTGTGGACGGTATAATCTATACTTTATATATCTTATTTGTGACACACAACAGGATGCGTAATATTAAGAAAATAAAGAAAAATTGTCCCTGTGCTTAACTAATTAAGCACTAGGCATGAAGGCATGTGGGGAGTGCATATAGAGATCCATGTTTTAATGATCTCAGCGCTAGTTGGAGGTGAGTGATCAAGTTCACGCCCCGGGCGCTTTACCCCGAGGGAAAGGACCTCCGGTACCCATTGCGTAGAAGTCAGGGTAGCCCCAGAACCGGTCTATAAGATGTGAAGAAGAGAAAAATTTTCACCTTACCGGGACTCGAACTCCTACCCCTCTATCGTCCAGTTCGTAGCCAGTCGCTATACCAACTACGCAATCTTGACTCCATACAGGCATACGTAAGATAAATAAACAACTTTAAAATATGATCGAGAGTGAAATTTTATTTTGAATTGTTTCTCATGCATTGACTTTTCACACCATCCCTCTCGAAGGGAAGCCCTCCACAGAAATGTCTTCATGCCTACGTAAGTGAGCATGCAAGAATATATATATATATATATATGTATAATGCAAGAAGAAATAATATAGAATAACACCTAAGACATCATTTTTTAATTACATTTGTATTTTAAAAAGGAATCCAATTTGATTTTAAAAACTTTTAGACATGTTTTGTGTGCCATGAAATATTGAATACAGTGCAGCAATATATAAGAAGAATCATATATACATACACATGTATATATCATATATACATATGATTTGAGGCTTTCATGACGGTGACTATGAAGAATGTCGTTTTCGGGGATGTGGCGCCGTGTAGATATTGTGTAAACCGACGTCTCGGAGGAACATATCGCCTCCATCTTCAAGATACAAAAATCCGCGAGCGGGGAACCAACGTGAGCAGGTGCCTGCATCCTGCAATCTGAAGATTGAGGCAATACGTTCCTCCTAAACGTCAGTTTACACAATCTACACGGCGCCACATCCCCGAATCAATCATATATATGCCTGATTATGTTCTCATATGGCCGAAACATATAAATATATATGAAAACATGGGCTAAATGTTGTTCCAAAAGAAAAAGGTATGAAAGTGTTTAAGTTACATGACTATTGTGTATATGTATATAGGAATGCTACGTAAAATATTAGAATTCTGAGTATAAATTTATTTATTGAACTGGGTCTGTTAATGGTTCTGTAAGGACAGTCGTACTTTTCTGCTGTTGATGCGTATTTTATTACTGAATGTTCCGCACACTACCACGATCCTCACACGGCAAATTACACAAGGTATTCTTCACTAATCCTAGTTACAGCATACGTTATGCAGTAATTTGGTCTGCTGATTGAGCATAAAGTACAGTAATTAAGCTTCCTTTTGGAAGAGGTGCGTAATTCTAACATGCGTGATATCTGAAATACTCACCTGTCTCGAAGATTTTCCAAATAATCAGCGAGATAGTCGACAGCAGCCTTGCCAAATTTGCGGAACTCCGTGGCATCCATGGCGCGCGGACGAAACAGCCTCCTGCAGCCAGAGAGCACGAACTGTGTTGTAGCTGCTCACTCAGTGGCCCAAACATGTTCTACAACCGATTTCACTTAACGGTGACTAGAAAATATTTGCTGCCAGGAGGTGAGAATCGGGAAAGCTCCGGCGATATAGCGACAGGCTAGGGGCTGGACGGCAGGGGTTCAATTTCCGGCAGGAACAATTCATTTATTAAACACAGGGATACATTTTACCTTTATTCAGAAGGCAGAAAACGCTTTGGAACCGTTAGTTCTGATTAGATTATATTTCTTTCTCGAAATGTTTCTTTCGTGCATTACACGGGGAGGTAAAATCTCATCGAAGACGAGGCCTCATTTGAAAACACGTACAATTCTTTGAAAGAAGAAAAATGTGATAATGAGTACAGACTGAATCAGAAACCAAGACTAGCTGTGCTGGCGAAGAGCAGCAACAATTTACCAGACCGACCGATCTACCATGTGTAGCAGACAAGAATTGTTAGTAGTTTGGGCACGTCCGATAGATGGCAGTGAGAAGAGTTAAAAATATATGGTGATTGAGATATTTAACAACGGTGAAGAATTTCGTATTCCATAATTGGAATCGTATCCTATGATGTGCGTCGTATCCTTTCATTAACAACCCAGACACCAAATTACATTATCGATGAAAATAACGAAGACAGTCCATTGTAGAAATACGTTACCCAGTGCCTAACGCAACAGCTAGTATTCAAAAGGGTCCGGCTTTATATAAAACCGTCACTCCTAATCTCAAAGAAAATCTGTCAGTATAATTATATTGAGTCGCTAGAAGACAGAAATTGAGAAAACACCCGAAACGTTGTGTACCCATATGACACATAACCTTACACAGACATTTCACGAGTGCAGAATTATTTCTACGTAGATTCTAAAGGGTCCTGACGATAGTGGATGACACACAGAATTACTGGGTTTTTGGACTTATTCCATCGTCCGGAATTCTAGGTAATAGAGGACACGACGTTCCGGAAACTGGATCTGTTTCCGTCTTCAGGTGAGAAAGGAAGAAACCTACTCAGTTAGGCACCTTAAACAGAGCTAATCTTAATCACTGGACAACTCTTGTCATATTTACCCAGCTATTTCAACATATAGGACTAGGCTAGTTCAGTGGGCGATAACAAGAAACGTTAAAATAAAAATTGTGATAGAGCATGCACATGCGTAGAACTAGTATAGAAAAGGAAGTATAAATTTGTGCTGGAAACCTAGCTGACAAAAATTAAGTGCATGAGCACCAATGCGAAGGTATGGATCTCCCTGTTTCCCCAATATAGTACTAGCCGTGCGGCTCCGTGAACACAGGCACAATCTCCAACTGTGTCTTCTAGAAAAATCAAAATTAGCCCAAAATGCCTATGAAGAGGGTCACAGAGTAGGCTGAGATGATGCCAGGATTTTGGAAATAGAAAGTAACAGCAGGAAATATAAGGATTTGGCCCATATGGCATGCTTGACCAATCCAATCAGACAACCCAGTTTGGACATTTCTCCTATCTGGATACCCCTCATCAACAATGAGGTTTCCAACTCACAGAGAAGATCTGTATGACGTGACAGACTCTTCCTGCGTTTCCACAACGTTCCAGTCTCAAGTGTTCAGGTTACTCCACAGATGGCACTAGTGATAGTTATTACATGTCTTCACAGTTTTTCCCATTTCTTCGCATTGGTACTCGTGCACATGGTTTTTGTCAGCTAGGTTTCTAACGCAAATTTCTACCTCCTTTTCTATCCTAGTTCCACGCATGTGCGTGCTCTATCACAATTTTTATTTTATTGTTTCTTGTTCTCGCCCACTGAACTAGCCTAGTCCTACATGTTGAAATAGCTGGGTAAATCTGACCGGATTTGTCCAGTGATTGAGATTAGCTTTTTCGAAGAGTGGGTGTATTTTTTTTCTCACCTGAAGACCGAAACAAATCCAGCTTCCGGAACGTCGTGTCCTCTATTACCGAGCATTCCGGACGATGGAGAAAGTCCAAGACTTTGTGTATTTCTACGTAGATAATTATAAGTGTTGATGACAAAGCAATATCACTGAATTTTATTTTCTCCTTTGCGTAAAGGTGTTGTCTGATGATCACTGTCCTTGTAAAACTGTTATATATTAATTCTAAAATGATTTGATCCTATCATTTGTGAGCAAGAATACCACCAGGGTCTCTTCCAGGAGGCAGCAAATTTTGTAAAGGAAAGTCATAATTATTTACATTTCAGCCATTAAGAACTCTCTCTGTCTTTCCTGTTGCTCCCGCTTGGAGCATAGGGCATCCGTGAAACGCTTCGTTTCACTTCAGTTTTATTAAATTTAGACAGTCGGTAGGACTCTTTGGACGGGGGATCATCACGTCGCAAGGCCGCTACCTTCACACAGAACAACACAGTTAATAAACTAATACATACATCCATGTCTTCAGTGGGATTCGAACCAACGATTCCAGTGTTCGAGCGAGCGAAGACAGCCGTTATAGAGTGTTATTAAATATTTAAAGGTACCTCTAAATTATATTGTTAATATTTGATATATTTTCTTCCTGTCTTTAGTTTCGTGAGGGGGCGGGGGGGAGTGGCAGGTACCTGTCCCCTACAGCTCGCCTACGCTCATGTTTTACAGTTCGGTGAGATACGCATGGAAAAGACAAATTGAAATTGTTGTCAAGGATTTCTAAGCTTCTGAAATGCCATAAAACAAAATAGGAACATTCTAGGGAACTTCTCTCAGCGTTCCACACTTGGGAAATATTTACATCAATTAGTGGCATTGAGAAGTTTTTGCTTAAGAAACGGATAATTAATTTTAAATAAGAATAGCGGAATTCAAATTTTTAACTACCCAGACTGCGACATATTCTGCAGCTGTGGCAAAGGTCTTGGACCGAAGCATCCTAGATTTCAACATAACTGGCATGCGTAGAATAACACAAAGAATGCTAAAAAAATAAAACTAGAAAAGGATACAGAGATTAAATTTTATAACGTAATAGTAGTTCCTATGCTTACTTATCGAAGTAAATACTGGGCTTTGGACAAACCTGAAAAGAGGAAAATTAAAACAGCAGAAAAATCCTTTTCAAGGCGTGTCTCCGAATATGAACTTACAGACCATGTACGCAACTCTGTGGTTTTAGGCCGCAAGCGAACTATACCGACCGAGTGACCGCCGCTTGTCGGAGAAGTTAGTACCAACTTTTGCGGAAAGAGGGTGTCGCGTGATCAGGGCAACGGATCCCTACGGCCGTTAATATCGGTGTTCTAGACCGGAGCCGCTATTTCCTTGAAATAGTTCATCAGTTATCCTCACGAGGCTGAGTGGACCCCGTTCCAGACCCACTACTTCTCAGAAAATCTGGTAGCGCCGGGAACAGAACCTGTGACCTCCGGATCTGTAGCCAGGAACTCTGACCACTAGACCATAGAGGCTGTCATTACAAGCATATGCCTTAAAGGAAAGAATCCTAAACTACTAAAGTGACTTAATCATATCTTAAGAATGGGCTCAATAAAACTCGGAGAGTGCCATCTTCTGGGATGTGGAACCATGTAGATTTTGGAACGTCCGTTCACACAATATCTGCACGGCGCCACATCCCACAAGAAGGCACTCTTCATAGTCAAAGCCGTGGAAACCTCAAATCTTTTATAAAACTCATCCAAAAAGTTAAGAACTCTCAACCAGACTGATAAAGAAATTTTAGACGAACAAGAAGGCTCTGGGTGGGGATTATTTGAGACGGAACCGGCTAATAAAACCCTTCCATGACGTAGATGGTGATTATGATGATGATGATGATGAGCGAGGAAGAGAAATGCAATGGAATATATATACATGCTTTCCAAATGTATTCTTTATGTACTGACATTCCTCTGTGAGCTTGATATTGTCACGTGATTACAACCACTGTGGTCACGTAGTGGATTGTGGTAGCCTTTGTCCATACCACTCTTTAACTGTGACAAAGACGTCCGGTCACCATAATTACCACTTAAAAAACATAAAACGTTTCAAGACTCGATACGATGAATTCAAGTTCTTTGTCAAGATACTTGACCTTGAACAATGCCCGTCATTTTATGCAGTGAAAAATTATTCGATACGGAAAGAAATTGATGTATAATTAGAGCTGAATATTATATACTTCGTGGTACGGGATAGAGTAATTGGTTGAGGCACTATGCTACAAGCTGAAAGGTTTTGATTTCAATTCCCGATGAGATCGTGGAATTTTCAATTGACGTAATCCTTCCAGCCGCATTATACCCCTAGGGTTGACTCAGCCTCTAACAGAAACTAATATCAGGTATCTTCCCGGGGGTAAAGGCGGCCGTCGTAAGGCTGACAACCTAACCGCCATCTGTGAGCCGATTGTCTAGAAGATGTGGGATTTACGATGTCTCACAAGCCTATGAGCATTTATCGTCTGTTACAGGGATAGCTTCACCTTTGTCAATCACAGCGGCCATGCTGTCTACGACATGAACCGCCTTTGCCCGCTCGAACACTGGGATCGTGTGTTTGAATCTCACTCGAGGCATGGATGTCTGTGTGCGTTTATTCTATGTTTATGTTGTTCTGTGTGTAGGTAGTGGCCTTGCGACGGGCTGATCCTCCGTCCAAGGAGTCCTAAGACCGTGTATAAGATTAAGAAACTGAAAAAAAAACCCAGCCAAGGTCTGTATACTCGTATAGAGAGAAAAATAGAATCAAACTCAGTTGCTCATCCAGTTTGGTAGGACTTTACGTGTACCTGCTAGGTGAATTGGAGGCTTCCCTGTTTTAATGTTAACCATCACCCAAAACTGGTCCCTCTGCCAAATGTGTTTCTGCTGCTAATGCAGTCGAAATGTTATATTTAACGGAGAAGTATTTTCGTTAACTGACGTTATCAAATATATTAATAATAGGGCCAAATTTAATGGGGAGTGACTAGGGCAGTCGTCCCTTATCCTAAAGAAAACAGGAATATAATCCACAGAATTTTATTTGGCCATTTTCTTCCGTAAAATCCCAAAATAAACTGTATTTTTGTCCATTGTGAAGAATTGTGAATTGTTATCACCTAAATTTGTTGAAATGATAGGGCCCTCCACAAATCGAAATGTGGCCCTGTGCTTTCGTCAGTCCCTGTGGATAAATTCTGGGATATTACCTGGAATTCGCAACAGATGTTTCATTCTAAATTAAAGTTGTCCCTGTGCTTAACTAATTAAGCACTACGCCATGAAGGCATATGGGGAAGTGGGTGTATAGAGCCACATATTTTTACCTCAGCACTAGTTGAAGGTGAGTTGTTAGTTTCACGTCCCGGCCCACGGTACCCGTTGGATAGGAGGTTGGACCCCAGAGCCGGTCTGGACGACGTGGAGAACAGATAATTCTTGACCCTACCGAGACTCGAACTCCGATCTCATGGTCGTCGAGCCCGTAGCTAGTCGCTATACGGACTACGCTATCCCGGCTCACTTCATTCTAATTGTGTACACTAATTAGTCTACCATGTGAGGTTATAATCTGAGGGTCTTTTAGCGTCAATAAGTAAATCATAATTAAATAATAATAATAATAATAATAATAATAATAATGGGTGAAAACTAACAAGGGGATAGCCTGGATAATTCAGTATATTGGGTTGTGTGGCAAGGTACTGCAGTTAGTGCAGGATCTCGACGGTGACATGTCAGAGGGTACCTAGAATAGATTATGTTGTCATATTTTTGCTCTTACATTGTATATAACCAGGGCCTGAAAGAAATGAGTTGGAGCCCGGGGGACTCACAAATTTGGGGCACCCACCCCATTGAAAAATCGATACAAATATATGAATATTTTAGTGTGTAAAACCGTTAATGTGCAACGAACGCGAGATAAGCAAATATACCAGAGGCATTTCTAGGCAACGGCTCGGCAAACGCGTTACCGCAGCAACGAATCGAGCGCAACAATAGCAGTACTGTTGTTAAGTGGTGTTTTATTCTGGGTCCGTGCCGTAGGGTTATAAGAAAGAAATGGGTAAACAAGTCAATTCTATACAGGAGTCTGAAGCAAGAGTGTTTCAGTTGGAAAGGAGCCACCGTCCAGATAGGACTTCAGCACGGAAGCAGAGGACTTGCCGTTGTTAGAAACCGTTATCAGGAAACGTCTAGTAACAGACTGAGGACACTAGGCTGTGTGTTCTAGTGAACTGTAAAGTGTGGATATCAGAGATAGTGTTATAGTTACTTATAGTTACGATCCGTAAGTGGTCAATAAATTCAATTACCCATCCAAACCTCGTCGAGAATCATTCCTACAAGTCACTATATTTAATAAATTAAAAATTCGGGCTTTGTATCTAACGATTATCGATGAATGGACAAGAATAATAAGTAGAAATTTAAGTTAAATAGATTTCCCACGCTCTTGACTAAATTTTATAATTTTATTTTTTTAATTGAATGAGTGTACATTTGAAGTTCCCCTAGGTCAGTGAATCCTGGGTCAAAGAACCCTGCTAGGCTTCCCTCTATGTGGGGCTATTCATAACAATAAACTCGTTTATGTTAATCAGCTAGCCGCTATGAAATCTCAATATATTCGTACAAGTTGTTGCCATTGAAGATAATTGTTTTTCTCTCGTGTAAAATGTTACGGTGCTGCATAGGCTTACACGTCCCTGCGCTTTAAGTCCCCTAATGGACGACCTTGAAGATGGCGGCAACTTATGCCGAAATATAAATAAACCACTGTAAGGAGAGCATACACACATTATTTAGAAGCAAGCGGATTGGTCTCATTATTGCAACAAACGGAATAATTACAATATAAGAATATCTGTAAATAAAGCTATCCCTGTAACAGGCTGTGAAGGCCAATAGGGTTGTGAGACGTCGAGGGTCGCACTTTATCTAGATAATCGGCTCACAGATAGCGGTAAGGTTGTCAGCCTTACGCGCCAGCCACCCTTTACCCCCCAGGAAGATTCCTGGTACTTATTTCTGTTAGAGGCTGAGTCGACCCCAAGGCCACAATACGGCTGGAATGATTAGGTCAATTGAAAAAATTCACCTCATCGGGACTCGAACCCGCGACCTTCCGGCTTGTAGCATAGTGCCTCAACAAACTACGNGTAGGGTTGTGAGACGTCGAGGGTCGCACTTTATCTAGACAATCGGCTCACAGATAGCGGTAAGGTTGTCAGCCTTACGCGCCAGCCACCCTTTACCCCCCAGGAAGATTCCTGGTACTTATTTCTGTTAGAGGCTGAGTCGACCCCAGGGCCACAATACGGCTGGAATGATTAGGTCAATTGAAAAAATTCATCTCATCGGGACTCGAACCCGCGACCTTCCGGCTTGTAGCATAGTGCCTCAACAAACTACGCTACCACGTGGCTATCTGTGAACAATTCGCAAAATGTGAAAAGGTTAAAAACATCTGAAGAATATTAGTGCAGTCAGATTACCCATAAAGGAATGTGACTGGGACATTTTAAAAGAAGAGGATACCTGAAATAAACCTTTGGGATATGTTTTGAAATTAGATTAAACAAACATAAGATAGAACACAACTGCTGGATTTCATTGAATTATAAATTCATGTAGAAAGAAGGATTTTTATTTTTCGACCAGGCGAATAACGGCCAACTGTATCTCAGAGTTTACATTTATATCCAGAAAACAAAATTTTAAGGTACAAGAAACACTGCTCACAGCGGGGGTGCAACACTTACGTGGCAGTTCACGAAGAGGGCGAGAGACGAGCTAGCTGTCTTCCCAACACCGCACAGACCCGAGACTAGGCTCAATCACGCTTTATATAAACATCAGTCTTCGGTACCCAACTCCCCCCCCCCACCNCGGTATTCTTCAGACAAGTCCATTCTATTCAGCTCCAGGTTTTCAGTAAATTAGGTAACCTTGATTTAAACTTGAATGCAAATTATCTCCTTTTACAACACAAACCTATTCTTTTTATAGGGGCTGGCATAGCTCAGTCGGTATAGCTACCGGCTGAACGGCAGGGGTTCGAGTTTTCTCTAATCCGCAGCGTACAGACCGTCCTCGGTGTCCACCCAGCCTCCCACCCAATGGGTACCGGGGGCTCCTTGGCCGGGTATAAAGCGGCGGCGAACTTCCTCTCACATCCATGTTGTGCCGATGCCAAATATGGTGGAGTTATACTTCCACGCCCCCATTACGTCTTCGTAGCATGAAAATTAATTAATTAAACACAAGGACAACTTTACCCTTATCTTTCACTTATTCGTTTACACTATCTTTTCATGCTTAAAATTAGCTCCACAGAGAACAACCATCTTCAGAGTTTAAAGTCCCTCATCTAGTATAGAAATTACAGCGTTTATGGAATCTGTGGGTCCCGATCTTGAGCCAGAGGAGTCTAATCTACTGACGCTCTTCTCAAGTCCTCGTTTAGATGTAACCAAACACAGCGGTCCAGCTGTAACACTACTGCTGCTTGCTGCAGGGTTGCATCCTGTTTGTGATGCTTACAAACAAAAGTGGAGGGCTTATTATCAGAAGAACAAATATTTTTATTATTCCGCTCACAATATGCTTCGACTCAGCTAGACCATCTCAGATGATACGTGAGAATTATACAAATGATGACGAAGTTCATATAAAACTACAATAATAGTATACATTTGAAAAAAAAAATTAGTTAAAATAGGTCGGATCTCACTCGTACCTATGGGTCTCAAAGGTCTATTACAGTGATAGAGTTACTTTCGTATTGATATTTACTTATTACATATATATAGTGAAAATATATCAATGCAGGAATGTACAAGAGGTTTTTATTCACCGTCTCTACAACCCCCTTGGGCCGTGGCCTCTAATTTTCAGTTTCATAAATATTTTGCAGACGGTATTGAGGGATGCGAACCCAAGATCCCGGCTTTAGAGCGAGCAAAGACAGTTCATGCCTTAGACCGCTCGGCTACCATGACCGGAGTACAGGAGGTTATGCCTTAAAAATAAGAACAGTAGGTTCTGGTGCTCTTTATGCATAACAGGTTATGTAAATTTACGAAGATGATGCAGTGTATGGAGTGAGAGTTTACATCCGTTTTTTTCAGTAGATAAAGAATTAAAGCCATTGAAAATAAAACTTGTTAATAAAAAGCAGTGGAATTCGTTCTCACTAAGGCCAGGGATGGCCGCGCCATAGCTCAAGCGATTAGTCGCTGGCTTCCCACCGCGGCGGCACGAGTTCGATCCCGGGGTCTGGTCAAGTGGGATTTGTGGTGGACAAAGTGGCGCTAACGCAGGTTTTTTCCGAGTACTTAGGTTTCCCCTGCCAATCTTCATTCCACCAATTGCTTCACAATCACCCTCCGCTATCATCTGGGGCTGGTACAATAAGCCAGAAGTGGCCGCAGTAAAAGGGACTTAGTCCCATCCCACTAGCATTAAAAGAAAGGCCACGGTTAAAACGGGTCTTAGAAGATAAAAACATGGGCAGTTTATTCACAGTGTTTCAGTTTCATGAACATTGTTTCGACTGCCTTAAGCTATGGGAATTTTCCTTTGGGGGTACGTGGGTATTTAAAGGGGTGAATCCTTATAGTTGCCATGAGTAAACATTTGAAAGCTCAAATGGTTTTGTTTATTATCAGATTTTAATGTGGATCACTGAATATACTAATAAAAGGTAATGGACAAACAAAAACAAACTCCGTGGCGTGTAGTCCGCAAGCGAAGTATACCGACCAAGCGACCGCCGCTTGTCGGCGAAGTTAGTGCCAATTTTAGCGGATAGAGGGTGTCGTATGGTCAGCCCAACGGATTCCCATGACCGTTAATCTCGGTTTTCTAGACCGGAGCCTCTATTTCCTTGAAATAGCTCCTCAGTTATCCCCACGAGGCTGAGTGGACCCCGTTCCAGACCCACTACTTCTCAGAAAATCTGGCAGCGCCGGGAATCGAACCCATTACCTCTGGATTTATAGCCAGGAACGCTGACCACTAGACCACAGAGGCTGTCAAAAAGATAATGGACAGTTTAATTAATTCTGTACTGTACAGAAACATGTAGAATATAAACTTACAAAGTGATGGCATGATTACATCCACTATAAAAAGAGCTGGGTTCATATATACAGCTACTTTCATCAGATTCGTAGTCCGAGGAAGTATATCAAAAGTTTATTCTAATATGCTGTTTGCCTGTTGGGTTCATGTGCTCCAGTTGAAAGAATGTTCTCGCAGACCAAATGACTATGGCAGCTCGAGAAAAACCGTGTGTTTTTTCCGCGCTTTATTCTCCATTGAATATTCAAAAAAAGTTCTACGAAACCTGGAATTTAGTGCCAAGTTACGAAACAAAATACCAGCACCGAAGAAGACACAATCTTCAGAAAAATGCCAGCTTTGTGGGGCTACCGGAGAAGAAGTAGAACCACAAGAACAAGAGGGAAATGAAGAATTTTGACTGAGATGTGAGTTTCTCTTATACTCTAGTTAAAAAGAAGTGTAAATTTACCCCCTCCCACTTCTCCCACTTTAGTCTATCCAAACCTTACTCCCTTCTTGTGCTGTGTCTCGGATTTTCTTTAGAAAAATATGGTAGCCATATTGAAAAATGATTGAATAATAAGTTGTATTTTTTTATTTCGAGTGTCAATTTCTATACCTATGTCTCTTTTCTTGACCGCCTCTATGGTCTAGTGGTCAGAGTTCCTTCCTACAGATCCAGAGGTCCGATTTCGATTCCCGGCACTACCAGATTTTTCTGAGAAGTAGTGGAACGGGTCCACTGAGCCTCGTAAGGGATAAATGAGGAGCTATTTCAAGAAAATAGCCGCTCCGGTCTAGAAAACCAAAAATAACGGCCTTGGGGATCCGTTGCGCTGACCATGCGACACCCTCTATCCGCTAAAGTTTGCACTAACTTCCCCGACAAGCGGCGGTCGCTCCGTCGGTATAGTTCGCTTGCGGACTAAAACCACGGAGATTGTCTTTTGTGTCTTTTCTTTCGAAAAATAACGTTCCGCTTGAACCCCATGTAAGGTAGGATTTATATTGGCTCTTTAAAAATAAAAAATATTTATCTGATATGTTGCATATCAGATCACTAACATCATATTATATTAAATTCTGTCTAGTTTCGGAAAATAAATCGGTCAATATACGGACGAATACAACTCGTGTACTGTGCATGTTCTTTATACTCGTTTTAATGTTATTCTTTTGTTTATACGTATTTGAAATTTTTAATAATTTCCAACAGCTGCAGTTTTATTTCTTCTGAATATCGCAGTCTGAATTTTCTTCACATGCTCCTAGTTTCCTTTATAATAACCTATTTTCGTCCACGCGGTTATGAACACAGTCACAGCAACTTATTCCGCTTTTCAGAGCAATATAAAGTAAGTCCTTGGCATTTGTCTATTGGAACCTGCAACCCTGACAATCATTCCGAGCTCGCCCTTGACTGCTAAGCCATTCGACAGGATTTTACAGCAGTTTCCATTAATATGTGCAGTCTTTCAGACTTTTTATCTTCATGTATATTGTCTACTGTAAATGTCCAGCCAATGAATTTTTGTTTTCGTTTTCCTTGACCTTGTAAAATTGTAATGGTCTCGAGGAACTATCCATGCTACTTCCATTTTGTGTGTCTGTTTCTCCTCCTCTTGTGGTACTTCTCTTAATTTGGTTCGTACTGGCTTCAGAATCTCTTCTATATCATTATCATGGCCTTGTTACATCTACTTCGCCCTGTGCATTTATAGTTCTGCCTTCAGTCACGTGTCATCATCTAGTCTGTGTATCTGTTGCTTACGTCTTCTCCTACAAAGGCCACAAAGTGATATCAACTATATTATCAGCCTTTAGTTTCTAACCGTATCCTTAGTTCCTTTATTCATTCTTCGTTGAGTACTCGGCTACAGATCCAGAGATCCCGGGATCGATTACCGGCGCTACCAGATTTTCTGAGAAGTAGTGGGTGTGGAACGGAGTCCCCTCGGCCTCGTGAGGATAATTGAGGAGCTACTTGAATGCAAAAATAGTGGCTCCGGTCTAGAAAACCGAGATTAATGGCCGTGGAGATCCGTTGCCCTGACCACGCCACACTCTCTATCCGCTAAAGTTGGCACTAACTTCGCCGACAGACGGCATATGAACGTTCTAAATATTACGCCCATCTCATTATTTTTGTTATGTTCGTTCTAGAGTTTGGTGAGGAATATAAACGTCTTATATAAGTGCTTAATGTCCTTTCCCTGTGTTTAAAAAACCTATAGAGAACTTGTTTTCTTACGTGGCTTTTCCACCGCAGATTCCTTTACGTTCTCGCTGGCCAGTTACCACGTTGATTTGCCCAGGCGTAGAACAGACGAATTTTTGTTACTACACTTCTGACCTTGAATTATCAGTAATAGCCACGTTTATACGTATTACGCGTAGTTGGTTGAGGCCGCCTCCGTGGTCTAGTGGTCACAGTTCCTCATTACAGATCCAGAAGTCTTGGTTCGATTCCCGGCGCGACCAGATTTTCTGAGAAGCAGTGGGTCTGAAACGGGGTCCATTCAACCTCGTGAGGATAATTGAGGAGCTATTTCAAGGAAATAGCGGCTCCGGTCTAGAAAGCCGAGATTAACGGCCGTAGGGATCCGTTGCGCTGACCACGCGACACGCTCTATCCGCACAAGTTGGCACTAACTTCGCCGACAAGCAGCGGTCGCTCGGTCGGTATAGTTCGCTTGCGGACTCAAGCCACGGAGTTTATTTTTTGTTATTTGGGGGGGGGTGAGGCACTATGCTACAAG